AAAAAAAAAGAACGCATTTGTCCGAGTCAAAAACAGTAGGCTATGGTGACGTCGCCAAATGCTATCTTTAGCCTAAAATTGAGTATGGAATACTTGTTATAGCTCAACTAAAGAAGCATGTGTTTCTTGGAGAGCGAGAGTATCAAAAGAACAAGCGCTAGGCTAACGAGTAAAATGATTTCAAATAGAGGGATCGCCAGATTTGCGAAGCTCACGACAGCTAATAGTTGCGACTTTAAAATTAGTGATAGTAGTAGTGATAGTAGTGGTATTGGTAGTAGAGGTTTATGAAGAGTTTGAAAAGATAGTCGATGCATTGAAGGAACTACCCTCAACTATCATGGCCTAACGAGTGATAATCTATCATAAGATAGATTATTGATGGTTAGGGTATCCAGAAATACCCGATTGGTTATTACGAAAGCCAACGGCTGACGCAGGATCAACATTAGAGGGAGCATCTTGGTGATGGGAGGCATCATCATTATCAAGTTCCATTGATTCACTCTCAACAGCCTCAGAACTAAAAACAGGAATTTTATTCCTGGCATTCAAATGACATTGATTGCTTCTCTTAGATGGATGGCCAGTTTGATTACAGGCGGAGCAGGCTTTTTCTGAAACGACTGGAGTATCTTCAGAAGAGATTAAAGCAGCAGTGATCTGAGGCCTTGTCTGATGAGGAGGATAGCGTGCAGAAGATCGAATTGAGGCAGGGGAAGGACCAGTGGCTGCTGCAGTCGAAACAGCAGAAACATCAGAGGTTGACTGAGGAAGATCAATCTTAGAGTTGACCGGAGTAGGGTGAGCAGCCGGTGAAGGCTGGGTAGAGGCGCTTCTCACTACTGGTTTCTTAGTCTGACTGTCATAAAGAAAAACCTGTGTGGCAACAGGTGACTTACAGGCCTTCTTATTGGATGCAGTAGAACTGACATAAGAGTTCTTACGAGGACGGCCATTAGACATATATTCGATCTCATTGCAGAGATAACAGATGGCAATACGCAATTTGACAGGGCAGTCGACAGCTGCGTGAGATGGACTGTGACAAGATCGGCAATAAAGGAGCATGAAGCGCCAATGAGCATATACAAGCACTTCAAAGTTACGTTTAACAGAATCGACAGTGAAAGTAGCAACAGAAGAGTATTGCCAATGAACTTTGTGAGTCAAGGAGGCAATAGAATACTTCTTGAGCTCCAAAACGGCGTAACTGCGGCCAAAGAACACACCAGCAGTTCCAGAAAGGATACCGTTGTCACGTATTGTACCGCAAATAGAAAGGTTATGCAGCATGTCCGCTTGAAGTTGTCCTAAGCCACGAGCCTTTCGGCCATATTGACGAGGAAGACCGTGATAGTTAAGATTTCAGAATTAACTGACAATGATTGATGTTCAACAAAACGGTAGGGGGAGGAGGGGAATTCGGAGCCTTCATCATAGACTTTCTTTGTAAACTCAGCTGAGAAGGTGATTTTGGCATATAAGCGACTGTAACTACGACGGAAACAATCCTCGATACCCCACAGATGAGAGTTGTCGGAATACACTTCTTTAAGTTCTTTAACGAAAAGCTTTTTATTCTCGACGGAGGAGATATCGACAAAGACAGTGTCAGAAGTGGAGCCTTTAAACAAGGCAAACACTTGGTACACTCAAAAATGCATTCAAAATAGACTAACGCTACGGGCACTATCTCTATTCACTACCTATGATGTCGTTCAACAAAGCTTTTCAATGCGCAGCGTCAAGCTAAACATGAGTTTATGAAGTTACCATCTTGGAATGTCTCTTTTCAAGAAGAAGGGATAAAAAAGAAATGTCGATACTGCTTTATTTTTAATTCTATGTTATCAGTTTGATCAACAAAGATGCAAGAACATGTATAATGATGATCCATTCAGATTTTATATCAGAGTGAATGAACTGGACAGTCTTAGGTTAGGCAGAGAATTTGGTAGTATGGAGTTGTAAAGTGATAACATAGGTAGCGCCCTCAAGGAAGCGCTCGTAGCATTGGCCTATTTTTGAGTGCATTTTTGAGTGCATTTTTGAGTGCACCAACTGTTTGCCTTAAAAAAAGGCTTAAAAATTTATGGCCTCAAGCGATCATAGCCATGTGAAACATCTTCAGGAGCAGTAGAGTCGTTTAAAGCAAAGATAGACGACTCGAAGTAGCTGGAAGTTTTGGCGCTTCCTCGGATTAACCAGCCCATTCTCGTTTGAGTTTCGAATAGCTGTTATTATGTGAGCCATTAGCTGACTACGAAGGTGGTAAAATTCCTTCACCGGGAAGAACCATGAATATGACAAATACGACGCGTACATCCACTTGGAACAATATGCCAATCTGGTGTCGCTATTGTCAGAAGGAGAGTCACACCAAATCCGAATGTGCCGAATCTAAAGCTAGAGTTATCTGTTACAGTTGTCATAAGAATGGCCAATGATCTTTCAAGCGCCCCCGTAGAAATTTCCCTTTAAATTCTCATAAAAAGCACGATTGTAGATCTCATCAACTTAAACAACCTGTTCCATTGGATCTTTCTACAGTAAACACTCAGATACAGGATTCCGAGGAGGATAGTGATGATTCTGATTATAGAGAAGAGGATGGTGGGGCTATGTCCACCACTTCTGACAAGGAAGGCAACGATCTCATAGACGAGGATGAGGCTCGTCCTTTGACAGAAGATTTTTAATCTTCTGTTCAGCAAATGGATAATGAGGCTCCTATTCAATTTGCACGCTATCATGAATTTGTCGCCTACCAGCAAATTACTCCTCCTCCTGAAGAAACTACATATAATCAAACACACGATAAACAATGGTCCACTGAAAGTTATACAAGTTCATCATCAGGAGTGCAGCCGAGCACTTCGGCTTCTAACTCCTCTCAATAATTATGCGGAGCAATACCATATGCCACTATGCCTTGTTGAATGCCAACAGTTTAATCAAATCCAATTCTCCGAAAACACAAAAAGATTACATGAGATACCTACGATCACAAATATATGATATAAGATGCTTTCAATAATCTCACATTTCTTCGTCCGAATTAATCTTGCCCCTTGACATTCACCATAATCTTAAGGACACTCACATTACTCGTCTACATCATAAATGGTCCGATTATTCTGTTTTGTATGTCAGTTTCGTTGTTAAGCCATTGCTTGCTGACAAGATTACTGATCTAATTTCTACCCTCACTGCAAATAAGCAGATAACTGCAGCAGATAAATGGGATCGTGTTAAGCTATTTGCTAAGAAAGTGATTAGGAACTATAGCTACTCGTACATGGGCTGAAGGAATGCATCCATACGCCAGTTAGAACAAGGAAGAAATCGTACTTTGGAAGGAAAGCCACCATTGGCCATACGAGTACAGCTTATAATGACCATCTATTGAGCGTTAAAACAATTGCAGCAAGAATGGGTTACCATCGAGGACCCAAAAGCAGGCGTTAGATGAAGGAACAGGGTGAGAAATCCGCTGGATTCGTTAAGCGTTTACGCCAACAACATAACATGTAGCAACACATGTTCTCAGTGAAAATTTTTGGATAATTACCTTTCAACAACCACTACGGCACATACACGATCCTCAGATCGTACTCCTGATCCGACAGCTATGCGAGGGATAGTACGGCAACATTATCAGCGACTATATACAGCGGGCTCTGTTTCAGATGATGAGATTGAGGCCTATTTGTCCCACATCAATTTCAAGTCGGAGAGCAATGAAACATTCTACAAGAAGATTTCGCCTCATAATAACTATTATTTTAAGATGAGTCCGGGTATTTGGAATATGGTCCCTTAGAACAGACAGAGGGCAAAAGCATTTGATTATGTGAATAAAAGATTACGCTTAAGCTAAATCGATTTTGATTGGCTAAAAATAAGTCATGAAATAAAAGGGTGTATTTAGATGGAGAGATTTTATCCTCCATGATGCTAGAACAAGTTTTCGTCCTGTTAGGGATGGATCCAAGCTATGTTCAATAGTTTTGGTGAACGAAGATTCTAGCTTTCCTTTATGAATTATTTAAACGAAAAAAGTAAATCAACAGCTTATGTCTTTCCTTTTTCAGGCAAAGATCGCAGCCATACTACAAGATATATTGTGCGCAGCATATCCTGCGCTTTTCTTTTGAGTTATCCTTTACTTGACAGTTGATCGTTCTTGTGTATACTTTATCTCAATATGCCAGGCTTCAATGAGATACCTAGTGAAATTTTACAGCAGATTTTTGCATATGTTCAGACAAGCGCCAAGTACAAGAAAAGTTGGATGGTGCAATATCAGCTTGTCTGTAAGAGATGGAGCCAGGTTGCAAGGACGTGTCTGTATAGCCTCGTAGATTTATGCAACGATGAGACCATGGAAAGATTTTTACACTGTATGAAAAACAGCAGCGCAGGGCACCTTACTCGAACCATATGCCTTAGCACAAGATACCGAAAATATGAAACAGCAGAGCTTTACATCAATGAACTTGTTGAAGCCTGTCCAAACGTAGAACGCGTTAAGGGTTTGATTAGTAACTATGATTCTTGGCGTACTATTACCACTGCCGCATCAAAGCACTGGCCTCATATAAAGGAACTTACTAACCCTTTTGACTTAACTGAACACCGCAATTACTTTGATTGTTACAACATACTTATTTCGCTTTTTCGTCATTCACTCACTCACGTCTATTTACCACCAGAGCATCCTTCTACTCCCATAATGAAAGAACTCTGTCAGCGATTACCAGAGTTTAGCAACTTAACGCACTTGATTATCGACAAGATGGAAATCTTTTGGTCACTTATAGACTATGATGAAATAATCCAGCTTTGCCCTAACTTGACATCTTTAATCGTAAACTCAAAGACGCCTTATTCGGATGTGGGGAGCAGAATACCTACCACACCTGAAATATTGTCTACACAACCACATAGAAACATCAAGTCTTTACGCGTGTGTCGGGTCAGTCATCTAGGCATTGTTGAATACATCATGCACAAGTTTCCCAACCTTCAGAATCTGGAGTTGATATCTTACAACTATCCCCGTTTTGAATATCAATTGGAGAGCTA